CAGACCTGGAGGACCTCAAGTACGTGTATGACGCCCTGAGGCCCCAGGACACGGAGGCCAACGCCACGACCTTCTTCACCAGGTAACAGTGTGTGAAACAGCGCCGCCCTGCTGGCAGGGGCAGGGTGAGAGGAACGGGAAAGGCTTAGTCAGGGGTGGAGCTGGCGCCCGGCAGCGTTGGCCGGCCGCCCCGGCTTTGCTGCTGACTCAGGTAGATCACCTTGCTTCTCACGGCTCAGCCTCCTGTCTGCATCTGTGCCAAGCCTTTGCATAGGGGTGTTAGGCGATAGCATCGCTCTCACCCCTATTCTCACCAGGGCACAGGCTGTGTCTCTGGGGCAGCTCAGAACAGGGGTTCCGTGATAGTCCCCAGTGCTCTGGGTCACGCCCCTCCCCCTTGTCAAACACGGGAGTCCGCGTCACTTTCCCTGTTCTAAGGCACATGGTGTGAGCCCAAGGACACGGGCCTGCAGTCTTGTCCTTCTAGGTGACATTTCCGTTTTACTGTGCACTCTTTGGGGAGCTTGGAGAAGTAAATTTCTCGGCTCTAATACACCTCCTCTTTGGAGCTGAGATCCCAGGAGCAGCTGCCATAACCCAAGTTTGTGCCAGGCGTGCGCTCTGTGAGGGCCCACCCAGGGAAGTGATGGGATCTCGGGACCCAGGGACCGTGCCTTCCGACAGCGGGAGTCGGGGTCCCCGTTTCATCCTTTTGACCTGTCCTCTGGCACCAACAGGTTGATTGAGTCGAGCCTGGGCAGTGTGGCCACAAAGCTCAATTTTTTCATCCATAACCTGGCTCAGATGAAGTTCACGGGCTCGGATGACCGCCTGACCCTTTCCTTTGCCCCCCGAACACACACCATCAAGAGCTCTGGCCGCATCAGTGACGTTTTTCTCTGTCGCCACGAGAAAGTCTTCCACCCCAACAAGGGCTATGTAAGTGTCTCCTCACGCCTGACCCTCCTGCTGCCCGCTGACCCAGCTCTGAGGGTCCTGGCTGTTCCCCACCTGCTCAGTGGGGCTGACTGAGCCAGCCCGGGCCGCCTGCCTCCCCCCTGCCCGGGCCGCCTGCCTCCCCCCTGCCCAGCCTCAGGCAGTGGAGCTGCAGGTGTTCCCTCTGGGGCAAACCCGACCTCTCAGATTCCTGCCTGTGTGCGGCCATTGTCTCCATCTGTGCTGGAGACGCTCTGCCCTCTTCCTTCCGGAAAGTTCGCTCACTGTGCCCCCTCACCTGCCCCTTCGCCGGGTGCAGGGCGGCTGCTGGGTTTCCTCCAAGGTTTGGGTCTTTGCAGATATACGTGGTGAAGGTGATGCGAGAGAACGCCCACGAGGCCTCCTACATCCAGCGCACGTTTGAGGAGTTCCAGGAGCTGCACAACAAGCTGCGGCTGCTCTTTCCTTCTTCCCTCCTGCCCAGGTAGCCGTCCCCACCACCCAGCACGCGGTGACTCTGGAGAGGAAGCAGGAGTGGGGCTCTGGGCAGGGCCACAGCGGCCCCTTTAGACTATAAAGATGCACCTGCTGTACTGGCCTGGTACTGCGTTCCGTAGCACGAGCTCCCCCTGCTGGCCAGACTCCAGCCTTGACAACAAGGGCCCACCTGCCGGGGCAGGGCAGCCGGCTGGTTGATTGCTGAAGGTGTTCCTGATCATTTAAAGACTTAAAGCGGTTTCTCAAATGGGTAGGCAAGAACATGGAAGATCTACGCAGCATGATATCCAGCATTAACCAGAAGGAAATGCGGGCACTTGCTCCAACATGGAAGAGCCCTGAGACCTTGTGCTGGACAAGCCCGCCACAGACAGATGACTGACGCTATTATCCCACTTATCTGGGTTACCCAGCGTAGAGGCAGAGAGTAGACGGTGGCTGCCACGCCGAGGGGAGTTTAGAACGTGGGGCTGTGGTTTTGCAGGGTGCACAGTGGGAGTGTGCTGGTGCCTGCCACTCAAATGTGGCCGATGCACTCGATTTTCTGTTCTGTGTATTTTCCCATCTTTTTTTTTTAATGATTTTTCACATTTTTATATCGATGGGAGCCCCCGAGGCACCTCTAGGGAGCCACAGGCCTCTCTACTGAGCCATTCGTTTTCTGGTCTGGGGTCCTAGGAAGTGTTAGCCCAGGGCGCAGATCGGAGCCAGGGGACATCGGGGCGAGTGACGGTCCCTGGGAAGGGAGGCTGCTGGGGCACAGGGCTGCAGGATAGACGCGTAAGCAGAGTGTGAGTCGAGCCTGCTGTCTTTGCTTCCTTCCTCCCCGTCCCCCCGCGCCCACGGCCCACCCTGCCACACCAGCTTCCCCAGCCGCTTCGTGATCGGCCGCTCCCGGGGCGAGGCGGTGGCCGAGCGGCGCAAGGAGGAGCTGAACGGCTACATCTGGCACCTGATCCACGCTTCCCCCGAGGTGGCCGAGGTGGGTGGGGGCTCCCCTGTTCCTGGCCGGCCTGGCTGCTGGTGGGGGAGGGGGAGGCACGGTGAGGGAGGAAGGGTCTGGAGCCCGCCTGGGATGCAGGGCAGACTTGGGTCTGCAGGGTTGGGGAGGAGGAAGGTGAGAAGCAGTGCACGGTCAGGCATGGGAACTTGACCCCAGGGATGGCCGCGATGGAGCGGAGCCTGAGGGAGGAAGGGGCTGTTCCCTAGGGAAGACATGTGAGGGCCGAGTGTGCGCAGCCACTTAGCTCTGTCCCGTTCATGGCAGTAATCTTACAGTGGCCCAAAGGGAGTCGTCAGGGATCCCTTCAAGAAACCATGGACCCCAGCTTCCGGGTTCCCTCCCTGTCTGTCCACACGCAAGTGGGTTTTACAGCTCCGTAGTGGTCAGAGGCTGGGATAGAACCCTCTTTTCCCTTAAAGTTAATACATCTGAGAGGCAGGGAGAGAGCGTCCTTTTGCTGGTTTGCTCCCCAAAGCCAGGAGCCGGGACCTCAGTCCAGGTCCCAGGGTGCGTGCTGGCAAGAAGGGGCTGACGCTGGGTGCTGAACCCGGCGCTCCGAAGGGCACGCGGACATTGTAACTGGCACCTTAGCCGCTGAGCTGGACGCCCGCCCCGTGGCCTCTTCCGGTCTGCAGTGAGGCTTTCCTGTGGTTATCGGGCCGCTGTGGAACTGAGGCATGGCCTTGTTTCTGCTTGTGTCCCAGAGTGATCTGGTCTACACCTTCTTCCACCCGCTGCCCCGGGATGAGAAGGCTGCGGGCACCAGCGCAGCTCCCAGGTCCTCAGGTACGGCCCTCCTCGGAGCCCCTCCCCTGCCCCTCCTGGCCTGGTCTCCAGCTCCCCTGTATTCTCTCCAGGGAGCGGGGTTTCCTGGGGTCCACAGCTGCTTGTCTGACACCAGCAGAGGGTGCCTGTCCCACCTTCATGCTGCCCAGCCCCAGCCCCAGCCAACCTGGAGCCATGGCCCAGACTCCACTGGTGGCAGCTGGGCGTGGAGAGACCCTGCCCGGCGCCTCACTGCGGACCCTCCTCATTTCCTGTCACCCTACAGATGGCACGTGGGCCCGGCCCGTCGGGAAGGTAGGAGGAGAGGTGAAACTGTCCATCTCCTACAAGAACAACAAGCTCTTCATCATGGTGATGCACATTCGTGGCCTGGTGAGTGCGCCTGCAGCCCCACGCGCTCGCGCTCGTCTGCTACTCCTTGGCCAGGGCTCTTGCCCCACGGAGGGTCACCGCCCGGCCACCGGGCCAGGCAGTGTGAGAGACACCGCTTCTTACTAGCGGTGGTCTTTGGCAAGTATCCGGTTATTGCAGCCTCGTTATGACGAGGACGCTAGGACTTACCTCTCGGGGGGCTGGTACGGAGGTTAAAGGGGGGATGCGTGGCGTGCCTGGCGCGTGGGTGAGGTGTGCTCACAGGCGCGTGGCGTGCCTGGCGCGTGGGTGAGGTGTGCTCACAGGCGCGTGGTGTGCCTGGCGCGTGGGTGAGGTGTGCTCACAGGTGCGTGGCGTGCCTGGCGCGTGGGTGAGGTGTGCTCACAGGCGCGTGAAGGCAGACGGGAGCATCTTCATCTCTGCTTCTCTTGTAGCAACTGCTCCAGGATGGGAACGACCCTGACCCCTACGTGAAGATATACCTCCTTCCCGACCCTCAGAAAACCACCAAGAGGAAAACCAAAGTGGCCCGGAAAACCTGCAACCCCACCTACAATGAGATGGTGCGTGGGGGCAGGGCCGGCCAGCTCACCCATCTTGGGAGGTGAAGTTGGCCAGGAATGGGGCCAGGCTCACCCGTGGCTGCTTCCCTGTCGCGCTAGATGGCTTGCCAAGTCTGAGTAGTCACTGCCTGTCCCCTGAACGTAAAACTGGCTGACCTGGGGGCTGGGACTGCACAGCCGGGCCTGGGAGCCTGCTGGCCCAGTGCTGAAAACGAACAGTGGCCCCGATAACAAGCCCTCAGCTGCTTGAACTCTGCCTAGCACGGGGTTCTTTAAGACCACCCTTGGCTCCTCGGGGCCTTGCATGTTCCCGGGGTTGGGGGGACAGAGCCCGCGGGCGTCCGCTCTGCTCTGGCCCTGTCCCCCCTCACCACAGCCTGTCCCCCGCCCCGTGCAGCTGGTGTATGACGGGATCCCCAAGGGAGACCTGCAGCAGCGGGAGCTCCAGCTGAGCGTGCTGAGCGAGCAGGGCTTCTGGGAGAACGTGCTGCTCGGCGAGGTGCACATCCGCCTGCGGGAGCTCGACCTGGCCCAGGAGAAGACCGGCTGGTTCGCGCTGGGATCTCGGAGCCAGGGCACCTGAGGGGCCCTGCCGAGCCCGCGGCCCGGCACCCTGCCTGGGGGACAAGAGACTCCCCAGCGCGGCTCCTCCTGCCGCCCCGCCCCGCGAGGGGGCGCGGCCCTGGGCTGGTCCGCCTTGGGCTCTGCTGCCCCTTCCCCTGCAGAGCCCGCGGGGTGGCAGCAGTGAGGGGCAGCATTGTTGTATGTTTACCTTGTGTCAAGGGAGCAATGCCTGGTGTGGGTGTGTGCGGGTGGGCTGGATGACGTCGCGTTTGCGGAGGGAGGGGTGAATAGCTTTTATTTTTATTTTTAAAAAATGAAATGGTAATGTGGTCCTGACTGGGACAGGAAGCCTCGCAGGAAGTGCCGTGGCCGGCCGTGGCCGACCGTGGCAGCAGGCGAGGAAGGCGTTTGGATGTTTTGTATGGTTAAGGTTCTTACTGGACTTTTCTCCAGGTTTCTGCTTTCTGTTTTTCTAGCTCCAGGAGTGATGTGGGGAGGGGCCAGTGGGTCCTCGGCCGGAGCCTCCCGTCTCCAAGGGCAGGTCGCAGAGGGCGGGAGGGCTGCCCGCGCCAGACTGACGCCTGCAGTCGCTGGGCCTTTCTGATTTTGCCTCCAAAGGAGAGCGATGCCATCCCTGTGTGTAAGGGAGGGAGGGCCTTCTCGCTGGGGGGCAGCCTCCCCCTGGGGTCCCCCACCCCCCGCTGGACGCTGTCTTCTCCCCCCACCCCTGCTGGGGGCCGTGGGTCCCTGTGGATAGGCTGGGGTGCTCCCCCATAGCTCTCTCCCTCGTTTTCTCCCGGGGACAGAACACTGCCCCAGCCCTCAGATGGAGTCTCTCCTGGGGCACCTTGCCAGCGTGGCCAGAAGGTTCTAGAAAGTTCTCCTCACACTCCCCTTCTTTCCCCCAAACTCCTTTCCTCTCACACTTTTTATAAGGATTTCTCTCCTGTGGGGCCATAAACCAATACAGCCTGGAGGCAAGGCCGTGGGGAGGGGGCTTCTGTCACACCTGTCTTTCCGAGGTGGTCTCCTTGCCCAGAGCTGGAAGGGGGAGACTGGGTCTCTTACCTTTTACCTGATCTTCACTCTCTACCAGATGGGTTTTAAATTTGCTCTTGTGTTTCACTCCAAAGGGTTGTCTTGCTTGAAAAAAAAAAAAAAAAAAAAGCAGGGGAGACTTTGAACTTGATGTTAACTTTTAAGAGGAGTGATCTGGGGAGAGTTGTAGAACCGGGGTGTTCTGAAACCCGACCGCCCCCCAGCTCCCTCCGTGCTGACTCATTCCGTACCTGGGAAGCCGCAGGGCAGCTCTTTCCTCCTGAGAGTGCTGGGGGCCGGGGAGCGGGGGGCCGGGGGCCGGGGGCGGGGAGCGGGGAGCGGGGGCCGGGGGCCGGGGGCGGGGAGCGGGGGCCGGGGGCCGGGGGCGGGCAGTCCGGGGGAGCTTTTCCAAAGCAGGGGACCACAGCCGCGTTACTGGCTCTTTGGCCTGTAGCACGTTTCATTTTGCCCTCTGTCCTCCTGAGCTGAAGACGTCCCTGTCCTGTGCCCACTTCCCGAACCCCTCGTATCTCCTACTTTGTCTGGAATTGTATTTTCTAATAAATGACATTTGAGAAAAACAAATACCACTTCCAACACTGGTCGACATTTAAATGTTCAGGGTAAAGCGTCTTAGTACAGGATTTCACAGGTGGGGATGGGTACAGGCCCTAATGCACTGCACTGGGCAACTGTTTTTTTCTTTAGGATTGATTAACTGATTGATTTGAAAGGCAGAGATCTTGATCCTCCATCTGCTGGTTCACTCCCCAAATGCTCACAACACTCAGGGCTGGGCCAGGCTGCAGCCAGGAGCTAGGAGCTCCATCCGGTCTCCCATGTGGGAGGCAGGGAGCCAAGGACTTGGGCCATCATCCGCCGCCTTTCCAAGTGCATTAGCAGGGAGCTGGATGCGAAACAGAGCAGCCAGGACTTGAACTGGAGCTCCAATACGGCATGCCACATTACAAGCGGCGGCTTAACTCACTGCACCATAACACCGGCCCCATCGGCAGTGTTTCACACAATCCCTACGCTGATGCAGCGTCTTAGGGTTTTCAGAGTGCCTTAATCCACATGATGTCATTTTTTTCATTCCAGCCACCTAGGAAGGTAGATATGGCTCAGTCAGTAATTCCGTCAGCAGTTAGTGTGGATCAGTGCTACCTGTTGGCACACTTGCATTTACAAAGAATGCAACATGGAAGATGCTCCTAGAGTCCCGTACTGGCCCTGTGCTAGGTACCAGGCTGGGGGTCACAGAAGCAAATTAAGATCATCCTCTGGGGCTGGCGCTGTGGTGCAGTGCTGGTTCAAACCCCAGCTGCTCCACTTCCGATCCAGCTCCCTGCTAATGTGCCTGGGAAAGCAGAGAGAGACAGCCCAAGTGCTTGAGTCCCTGCACCCACAAGGGAGACCCAGAAGAAGCTCCTGGCTTTGGACGGGCCTAGTAGCTCCAGCCCTTGCAACCATTTGGAGAGTGAACCAGAGGATGAAAGATCTCTCTCAATCTCTCGATCTCTCTCTCTCTCTCCCTCCCTCCCTCTCTCTGTAACTTTCAAATAAATAAAGCTTAGGGGAAAAAAAGACCCTCTGTGCCCTTAAGTGTACCTATCGCCTGGTGATGTCCTGCCAGCCCCATTTACAATCTCTGACCTCGGCACCTGAGCCTCAGCTGGGGCCCCCAAATGGGGGCTGGCGGTGACATGATCCCTGTTTTACTGGCAGCTTTCAAGGCGCTTCCTGGGGAGTCGGGTTTCATGCAGGGAGGTCTTGTGGGGTGTCCAGGTAGGAGGGGTCACCTGCTGACTTCCCAGGTTCTGGGCAGGTCCCTGTGGAGCACTCTAAAGTTAGAACTTGAATCTGGCGAGAGGCTTAGTGAGGGATAGTTCGTGGCCAAATGGGGTAGAACTCTGAACCCCCCTGAGGGAGTAGGCAAGGGGGGTTACCCCAGGAGAGGAGAAACCAAAGAAGCCCAGGGGTTTTCAGAGTTCAAAGAGAGGAGGAAAAAAAAAATGAAAACCCGACCTGCTGGGACGGGGGCGGGGGAGGGGAGGATGCGTTTGGAGTTGAAAGGTCAGAAATGAGGCAGCATTTCCTGGGGTGGGGGTGGGGAGAGGGAACTCTGGTGGCTGGAACTTGGCTGACACAGCTGATCAATTCAGCAGACAGCATGGATGGCCTGCCCCGGGCCAGGCAAAGGCTCAGGCGCTGTGCTTGCTGGGAACAGAAGGCGGGTCCTGTGCAGGGAGGCCAACAGTTACAGGGCAGGGGGCGGGGCAGAGTGGGCTGCACAAGAGAGATACTGGGGCTTCAGGGAAAAACTGGAATTAAGAGGTTAAGTTTATTTTGGTTCAAAACATTTTGAATCTTTGTATTCACTTTCCCTGAATTTTTCGAGTGTTAGTCAATCAGAACTCTGGGTTTTTAGTGTGATGGAGCTGCCGGTCGAGTGTTTTGAGAAACACACTGCCACCCTCCACTTAGTTTATTTATTTTTTTCGATCTTATTTATTTCTTTGAGAGGCAGAGAGAAAGGTCCTCCACGTGCTGGTTCACTCCCCAAATGGCTGAGCTGATCAGGAGCCAGAAGCGTCTTCCGGGTCTCCCATGCAGGTGCAGGGGCCCAAGCACCCGGGCCGTCCTCCACTGCTTTCCTGGGCCATAGCAGGAACTGGATCAGAAGAGGAGCCCATATGGGATGCCAGCGCTGCGGGCAGAGGCTTAGCCACAGCACCGGCCCCCGTATCTTTTATTTTTTAAAATTTATGCTGTGGCCAGGGAGTGCAGTGGAGGATGGCCCAAGTACTTGGGCCCTGCACCCCATGGAAGGCCAGGATAGGTACCTGGCTCCTGCCATCGGATCAGTGCAGTGCGCCGGCCGCAGCACGCGGGCCGGGGTGGTCATTGGAGGGTGAACCAACGGCAAAGGAAGACCTTTCTCTCTCTCTCTCACTGTCCACCCTGCCTGTCAAAAAAAAAAAAAAAATTATTTGAAAGAGTTACACAGAGAGATTCTCCATTCACTGGTTCCCTCCCCAGATGGCTGCAACAGCAAGGGCTGAAATGGGTTCCCACGTGGTGGCAGGGGCCCTCTTCCTCCACTGAATTTCCCAGGCCATCAGCAGGGAACCAGATTGGAAGTGGAGCAGCCGAGAGACAAACAGGCACCCACACAGATGCCAGCACCGCTGCTGTATCTACTATGCCATATGCTGGGCCCCCTCCATTTTTTTGTTTGTTTGTTTTATTTTAAGATTTATTTATTTGAAAGGTAGAGTTAGAAAGAAAGGTACAGGCAGAGATCTTCTGCAGGTTCATTCCCCAGATGGCCACAACGGCCAGAGCTGGGCTGATCTGAAGCCAGGGGCCAGGAGCTTCTTCCAGGTCTCCCACGTGGGTGCAGGGACCCAAGGACTTGGGCCATCTTCCACTGCTTTCCCAGGCCATAGCAGAGCTGGATGGGAAGTGGAGCAGCTGGGTCTGAACCCACGCCCATATGGGATGCTGGCGCCTCAGGCCAGGGCGTTAACCTGCTGCACCACAGCGCCGGCCCCTGTAACTAACCTTCTTTTCTTGTCTTTCTTTTCTTTTTTTTTTGGACAGGCAGAGTGGATAGTGAGAGAGAGAAAGGTCTTCCTTTTGCCGTTGGTTCACCCTCCAATGGCCACCGCGGCTGGCGCACTGCGGCCGGCGCACCACGCTAATCTGAAGCCAGGAGCCAGGTGCTTCTCCTGGTCTCCCATGGGGTGCAGGGCCCAAGCACTTGGGCCATCCTCCACTGCCTTCCCGGGGCCACAGCAGAGAGCTGGCCTGGAAGAGGGGCAACCGGGACAGAATCCGGCGCCCCGACCGGGACTAGAACCTGGTGTGCCGGCGCCGCTAGGTGGAAGGATTAGCCTATTGAGCCACGGCGCCGGCCGTAACTAACTTTCAAATGAATACATCTTTAAGAAGATTTTTGTTCTGGTCATAACAAATGTGAGCCAGCCGACAGAAATCCACGTGGGGACGTAGTGGGGTGGAATCTGAATCCCAAAGGGGAGGCCAATTCGGGTTTGGATCGTGGCAATCCTCAGCTTCTGGGTGGCATTTCATTCCATGGGCTGGGCCGGACCATCCAGGCTATGGAGGCTAGGATAAGACAGGGACAGAAGGAGGCCAACATTTAGAAGAGGGAGAGGAGGAGCAGGACCCACCGCTGAAACTGGGACCGTACAGAAAAGACAGGCTCAGTGCCTAGGGCTGCTGAAGCGGGATCACAGAGCGCATGGCTAAAACATCAGACGTGCACGTCTCTGCGTTCTGGGGCAGCAGCGTGCGGGCTGCGTGGACATGGTTCCTCGCCTCTCCCACTCTCTAGTGCTGTGCGAGCAATCTTGGGCTTTCCCTGGCTTAGGGATGCATCGCCCTGGTCTCTGCTGTCTCGTTCACGTCGCATCCTCCCTGTGTGCACATGCGGGGCTGGGGCTAGCTTTCCCCCTTTGAGGGGGACACTGTCATTCTGGACTAGGGCCCACCCTAATGACCTCATCTTAACGTGACCACCTGCAAAGGATCTGCTTCCACATAGGGTCACCTGCACAGGCCCTGCAGGTTAGGACCCCAACACCTTCTGGGGCACAGTTCAGCCCCTCATAATAGACTGGAAATGGCATCATGCCCTTGGTGGCCTCGATGAGACCAAGTGAGGATGAGGGCCACATTTGGTTGAAGAAAGAACAGGTGGGAAGGAAACAGAGACCATGAACACAGGCAACTCGAGAAACTGAGCTGTGGTGGTGCAGGAACTCGGAGGAGCACAAACCCAAGTGGTTTTTTTTTTTTTTTTTTATACTTAAGATAGATGATATGGGGCCAGCGCTGTGGTGTAGTGGGATAAAGCCGCCGCCTGCACCTGTGTGGGAGACCCGGAAGAAGCTCCTGGCTCCTGGCTTCGGATCAGTGCAGTTTCAGCTGTTGCGGCCATCTGGGAGCGAACCAGCGGATGGAAGACCTTTCTCTCTCTGTAGCTCTTTCAAGGAAACAAAGTAAATCTTAAAAAAAAAAAAAATGATATGAAGCTGTGTTACTGTGAATAATGTACCAGTGACCAGTGAGAGAAACTTGTAGGTTACAGGAAAGAACAGAAGACCGGCCAGAGTTCGTGGAGGGCGAGAGGACGGGGTCGGGGCTCCTTGGCTGTGGTGGGCCCGACGCAGGTGGACTGGGTGGGGAAAGCGGAGGTGGTTTATGGAAACTGTCTCGCTCTTCTCAATGAAGTTATGCACTGTGGTTCCAGGTCAAGCGCATGTACTTACCGAGAAGGCAGGAAATCTGAGGAAAGAGGTGTTGTGAACTAGTCTCGGGGATAGGACAAGCGAAGCTATTGGGATCTGTGGTGGGAGGCCTGGCACTGCTAAGCTTCCTTGTCGGTAGCCATGCACAGGGAGTGAAGCGGACGGCACGGCTGAGTGGTTTGTTCCCAGCACTGATGGGTGGAGAGGGTGTGGACACAGCGTAGGCCGGAAGCTAGTTTCACGAGGTTAGGGATTTGCCAGAGACCCTAGAGTAGACGGTCAGAGAGAATAAAGGGTCTTAATGAGGGGACAGTTCCTTTTTTTCTTTCTTTAAAGATTTATTTATTTATTTGAAAGGCAAAGTTACAGAGAGGCAGAGAGAGAGAGGTCTTCCATCTGCTGGTTCACTCCCCAAATGGCTTCAACGGCCAGAGAAGCACTGATCCAAAGCCAGGAGCCAGGAGCTTCCTCCGGGTCTCCCACACAGGTGCAGGGGCCCAAGGACTTGGGCCAATTTCTACTGCTTTCCCAGGCCATAGCAGAGAGCTGGATCGAAAGTGGAGCAGCCAGGACTAGAACCGGCGCCCATATGGGATGCCAGCACTGCAGGCAGCAGCTTTCCCTGTTACGCGACAGCGCTGGCAAGGGGACAGTTTCAGTACTGGATGGAGGAAGGAAGGGGAGAGGGAGATGGATCCCAAAACAGTGGCAATGGCAAGGTCTGCGGTCCCCCAGACTGAGCTGCTGAACAGGGCTCTGGGCCGGTGACTGCAGGCAGGAGGTGGAAGGCAGAAGGTAGGAAACAGATCTTGGAGATATGCTGCCTCTGAAGACAGGCAGGGGCTGAGAACCCTCCCGCTCCAGCCTGGCCCGCGGGTTACCGCCAGCAGGCCTGAGGCCTTCGTCTCCTGCAGGGCCAGTCAGCCTGCCAGGCCAGCTGGCACGCGGCCACACTAGGCACCAGCTCAGGAAGGCTGGGTCCCCCACGCTCGCCCCAAGGCAAAGTCACACCTTCCACGGCTTTCAAAGCTTTCTGATTGTACTTGTTCCCCTAGAACCACCTCCAAGGTCAGGAAGAATGAAACCATGCATCCCACGGCCAGATGGGGGGAGGGAGGCCCACTCAGACGCTCTGAGGAACTGTTTTCAGGGGTGGGTGCTCACAGCCCACCTTGGAGGGCCTGGGTTCAAGTCCTGGATCTGCTGCTGACTCCAGCTTCCTGCTAGTGCACCCTGTGGGAGTCAGCAGGTATTGGCTCCAGTGTCTGGGTCCCTGTCACTCACGGGGGAGACGCAGATGGAGTACTGGCTTCCTGGCGTCGGCCTGGCTCAGTCCTGGCAGTTGCATGAATTTGAGGAGTGAGCCACCAGTGGAAAGTTCTCTGTCTCTTTCAAATAAGTAAAAATTATTAAGCAAAATTGTTTTCAGGGTCATGTGGTGTCCGTAGTGACAAAGCAAGGACTGGACTGAAAGGCTGGGTCATAAGGGAGGTGCGATGACAGTATCACTGCGGCCATCTGGGGAGTGAACCAGCGGACGGGAGACCTCTCTCTCTGCCTCTGTAACTCTGCCTTTGAAATCAATCGGGCGTAGGTGAGGCGCAGTAGCTTAATCCTCCGCATCCCATATGGGCGTCCCACTTTCGATCCAGCTCTCTGCTGTGGCCCGTGAGGGCAGTGGAAGATGGCCCAAGTGCTTGGGCCCCTGCACCCACATGGGAGACCCAGAAGCAGCTCCTGGCTCCTGGCTTTGGATCAGCTCGGCGCAGCTCCAACCGTTGTGGCCATTTGGGGAGTGAACCAGTGGATGGAAGACCTCTCTCTGTCTCTCCCTCTCACTGCCTGTAACTCCACCTCTCAAATAAATAAATAAAATCTTTAAAAAAAAATCAATCTTAGAAAAAAATAAAACCTGGCTGGGTGGGATCAAGTCTGGCCGGGAGGGTCAGCTGAGGCTTGAAGGAGACGTTGGCATTTGAGTTGAACACCGAAGCGTGGGTGGGGAGGTAACGGGAAAGGTGAGGGCTTACCTGGACAGGTAACCAGGGACACTGAGGAGTGACAGGGACTGCAGAAGGGGGTGGGAACAGAATGACCAGAGCCGGGGACGCCAACGTGGCGCCACACAGGGACATGGAGCGGGGTGCTGCCCAGGCGCCCAGGCCAGGCTGCTAGGGAGAGCGCCCTTCCTCCAAGCCCGCTCGGAGAGGAATCGCCAGCTCCGCTCCACAGGCCATCTCTCTGCGTCCTCGGGTCTCGTTCTGGGTATCACGCGGGTTCCTTTTATTCTGCATTTTTCCCTGAAGTTCTTAGAAATGAGATACCTCCAGAGAGCCGGGGTAATCAATAAGATAACACGGAGAGGGAGGCCGGGACAGCAGGGCCGCCCCAGCGCCCCGTGCCCTGCGTGGGTTCCGGGCAGAAGTCGCGACGCGAACTCCGGCCAAACTCCACGGAGAATCAGACTCGGCAACCGCCAGCCACATTTTTCCCGGAATAACTTGTTGTACCCGTGGGTCTGGCCGCTCGGGACGGACAGGCGAGCCGGGAGGCGCGCCGGAGGGTGCTCGGGCCCGGGGGACCAAGTCGCGGGTCCCCGCTGCGGCTTCATGCGCCCCAAACGCCAACAAGGAGGCCCGGCCCGCGGAACACACACTTCCACCTGCGTGGGTCTGCGCGTGGGAAACGCACGCTACGCACAACCTACGCGGACTGCGACACGGCTCCACGCCCAAAACAAGCCTCTCACTGAACTCCGTCGGAACCGGCGCGGCACCGGCGCGGGAGATGCCTCCGCCGGTTCGGAACCCTCGCCCCTCCCCACGCCGAGGAGCGGCCTCGCGGGAGACCGCGGCTGACTCACTGCGCACGCGCACCGCCCGGGCCCGGCTGATGCAACCTCCCGCTCGCGGACGGCTCTACGGAGAGTAAGGAAGCCGGGAAGGAAATCGCGCGGGACCAATCAGCGGCCACACGGAAGTGCGCGCAGGCCCGCCCCCCTGGGGCTCGGCCAATGGCATTGGGCGGCGCGGGGGCGGATGCGTAGATGCCCCGCCGACCTGCGTCTCATCCGGAGGCCGGGGGTTGTCCTGACTCTGCGCCGGCCTTGCGGCCATTTTGAGCTTCGTTTCAAGCCGCGCCCGCCGCCTCCTTATCCCTTCCGGTGTCGCGCTGTGTGGGGCTTTTTTTAGCCGGCCGTCTCTTGGAAGAGTCATCGTCGCCGCCGCCGTCGCCGCCGCCGTGGGAGCCCTCCTACCTATGCTGTCGAGGCCTTGCGCGCACTAGGACGCTTCGTCCCCGCCAGGATGGCCGCCGTCCCCGCCGCCTCCTGCGCTGGCCGCCTGGCTCTGAGCTCTGCCTCTCGTGGCCGAGGCCGCCGCCCTCTGTGGCCCCTCTGCAGGCGCGGGGCTCGGCCTGGACCACCCACTCCGCCTCGGGGCGGGGCCGGGCCTGTGTAGACCTCTTCGGATCCCGACTCGCGTCGATCTCCAGCCGCTCAGCTGCCCGAGAGAGTGCCGAGAAGATGGAGGTGGAGCGGGGGCCGCGGCCCGGGCCTCGGGCGCGCGCCTGGTTCCGGCTGCCCTCCTTCCTCCCGTGGCGGCCGCAGCCGGCGCCGTCCGAGTTCCCGACGCCCGCGCCCGAGGGCTGCGCGGACCGCACGCCGCCCCCCGCCGCCCGGCCCGAGGCGCGGCCCGGCACCTGGGCCAAGCTGCTTGCCCAGCTGCTCGCGCCCCTGCCCAGCCTGCTTCACAGACTGCTGCTTTGGAGCCAGCTTTTCGGGGCTCTGATCCCGACCCGGTGGCTGGGGTTGGCCGGCGGCTACAGCGCCCTGAGAACCTGGAGGGGGCGAGAGGAGCCGGCCGCCCCCTCGGCGCAGAAGCCCTTGGACCCCTCGGAGCGCGCGGTCGCCAGCGCCCTGGACTGGCTGGAGGAGGGGCTCCACTGGCGGTGCTCCTCTGCCCTGGACTTGGACCTCAAGGCCAAGGGCGGTGCGTTGGACCCCGGCGCGCACGCCTTGCTCCTGGAGCAGCGGCTGTGGGGCGTCGAGCTGCTGCCCAGCGGGCTCCAGGCCCGTCTGTTCGCTGACCGGCATCTTGGCTCTTCGCCCTGCGGGCCGCTGAACGTGGAGCGCTTGGGCAATATCAGCGTGGTCTCCTACGTGGTGAGCCCCTCTTACCTGGACTGCCCGCCCCGGCTAGAGGTCGGCTGGCGGGGCAGCGGCGGAGCTGGCGGGCTGGTGGATTTGCAGACCCTGGCCTCAGAGAGCGGCTGCCTTCCGGAGGACCCGGGCCTGCCCCAGCCGCTGAGTGCGGAGCCCTCCGCAGCCCCGTGGCAGGGGTGTCCACCCCCGTCCACGGAAGGCCTGCCCGAGATCCACCATCTTCGCATGAAGCGGCTGGAGTTCCTGCAGCAGGCTGGCAAGGGGCAGGAGCTGCCCACCCCCGACCAAGACCACGGCTACCACAGCCTGGAGGAGGAGCACAGCCTTCTGCGGCTGGACCAGAAGCCCCGCAGAGAGGACGCTGCCCACTCTGGCCCCGCTGCCGGGGGATCCGACCCTGGGCCCTCCCAGGAACCCACCGAGGGAAAAGCAGAATTGCTGACTGAAGGGGACGCGGCGGCTCCGGGCAGCTGGCCCGCTCGGGCGGTGCCTGGGGAGGCCCACACGGGCGCCGCCGACTCCTCGGACGGAGAGGAGCTGCCCCCCTCTGCCAGGCCGGCTTGTAGTAACAAACTGATAGATTACATTTTGGGAGGTTCCTCCAGCGACCTGGAGACGAGTTCTGACTCGGAGGGTGAGGACTGGGACGAGGAGGCCGAGGACGATGGCTTTGACAGTGACAGCTCGCTGTCGGACTCGGACCCCGAGCCGGACCCGGAGGGGCTTCACCTCTGGAACTCCTTCTCCAGCGTAGATCCCTACAGCCTGCAGAACTTCACGGCCGCGATTCAGACTGCCGCCAGGGCGGCCCCCGCGGCCCCTTCGGACTCCGAGCCGGATCCGGCTGACCAGTCGGATCGGGCGAGTTCGCCCCAGCTGGGAGGCCCCCCCGGGACCCCCGACTGGCACTCTGGGGAGGAGGAGGAGGAGGACTGGGGCTCGAGTGCAGATGAGGCCGAGAGCCTCAAACTCTGGAACTCCTTCTGTCATTCCGATGACCCCTACAACCTGCTTAATTTTAGGGCTCCCTTCCAGACGTCAGGGAAACAGGGGAAGGGCTGTCAGGACTTGAAGAGCCCGCCTGAGTCCATGGTGGCCATCGCTGAGGGTCGCGCCTTGCTTTCTTGTGGGGTGCGACAGGCAGGGAGCCCAGGAAGTGAATGTCCAGGCTGGGGACAGCGCGGGAGTCTTTCTGGAGAAAGGCACGCACACAGCAAAAGGAAAAAGGTTTGTTTCTTCCCCGTGACATGCTGATGAGGTGGCCGTGTGGCCGTGCGGGGTGGGCGACATCATCATGCTTTTTTCGGAAGATCTCTGAGGTCTTAGACTTGGGTTGAGAAGTTCAAGAATGAGTTCTGTTTATTCCTCCGTGTAGAGCATTGTTCCTGCCAAAACAGATGCCAGTGCCTTGATGTTAGCCGGCAAGTGCCGGGTTGGTGTTGGGGCAGTTTGCCTAGAAGCTTCAGTTACTCACGTAGTGTTAGGGGAGCGGAAGTATAAACCGTGTACACCCATGGGCCTGAGATGGAGAGCTTTTCCAGAGATTGGCTGTATCATTGCCATGGTGTTTGACCAGTCTTTAAAATGTGCCGGAACGTTTGCAAACACTTAGTGTTTTGTTTGTGTGGCCACCTGTCTTTATTCTTGACCCCTAGACCCCAGGGGGTGGTGGTTCCAAGTAGCAAGTCAGGTTTGTCTGGTGGTTTTCTGCGAAAGAGAAGAGGATGGTGACAGTACAGGGTTTTGGTTAATAGTTGGTACAGGAGCTGGGACTCCCTTTTCTTAATGAGTGTGATACTGGTTAGCAGTGGCTAGCTCAAGTTCATCCTAGTAAATCATGGTCGCTTCTCTTCAGTAGTTGCTTCCTGTGCCGGGCTAATCTTAAGCCTCCTGGAGAGTTACCCTGCCATCACACTGTTGGTTAGCTTTGTTTTGGAAATCTTTAGATTGTTCCTGCAGCTGAAGCGATTAACTGAAAATCCCCCCAAACACAGAGGTGTCTTTTATTGTAGAGGGAAAGTTCCTGTACTTTCCTGCCCCTTTCTTTTTTTTTTTTTTTTTTTTTTTTTTTTTTTTAATTTTTGACAGGCAGAGTGGACAGTGAGAGAGACAGACAGAGAGAGAAAGGTCTTCCTTTTTGCCGTTGGTTCACCCTCCAATGGCCGCCGCTGCAGCCGGCGCACCGTGCTGATCCGAAGGCAGGAGCCAGGATCCAGGTGCTTTTCCTGGTCTCCCATGGGGTGCAGGGCCCAAGCACCTGGGCCATCCTCCACTGCACTCCCTGGCCATAGCAGAGAGCTGGCCTGGAAGAGGGGCAACCGGGACAGAATCCGGCGCCCCAACCGGGACTAGAACCCGGTGTGCCGGCGCCGCAAGGTGGAGGATTAGCCTATTGAGCCACGGCGCCGGCTCCCTTTCTTTGGAAAGTGACAGGAGTGGGAGAGTGACTGTTGCTGTCAGGATCTGCTGCATCAGGTAGCTTCAAGTGCTGCCTGGCTTCAAACTCTGAAATTATCCCTGGGGTCGAACATACTTCTGGGTGTAGTCTCGGGTCTTAGCCGTGGAGACGCGGTGAGTTGTGTAAAAACTGAATTTCAGTACGTACTTTGTACCTGTCCTGGTGAGAAATGAGCTTTCTTGATCCTTTTAAGGGCCCCTGACAGAATGACCTGGTTAGAGCCAGAGTGGGGCACTGAATGAGAACAGCGGCTGGAGACTGTCTGCCTTACTCCGGAGTGTTTAGGACCAAGGGACGTGGAGACAGCCAGACCGGGCACCTGGACTCCCATGTCCTTGATCAGTCACTTCAGTAATGCTAGTATCTCTTATACAGGGTATTCCAAGATGGAGATACATAAGTTACATTTCTTGTCTGCCTTTAAATGGCCCAGGCCAGTCTCATGTCTTGTTTTAGCTCATTAAGTAAGATGAAATGGGTGAAGTAGATCCGTGACTTGAACAAGAAGCAAAATTTATTGATTTTGTATCTAAATGTGATAACATTTGACAGTTTTGCCCACATGCCCTTATCTAGGCATATGGCAGTAATGGGGGGCATCTAATTCTTAGATCCAGGCTCTTCAGATCTAGGAATTCAAAATACTGTGTGTCGTGGCCTAATACAGTAGAGCAGACTGTTTGGATCCCATCTGCTGTACTGAGGGGATAGAGGGTCCATGCCTCCTAAGGTTGAAGTGAGGCTTAAATGAGATAAGTGTAAGACTTTGCAAAGAGCTTGGCATGTGGTAGACATTGTTTGTTATTGTTTATTTTAATGACTGATGAATGAATCATGGCTAGAATGCAATATCTAGTAAGATGTTACATACCTGCTGATCGTCCTCCGGGGCATTCCCGGGCCTGATGTAAAGGGAATGAAAGTAGTAGGCCACGAGGGATTAGCTGATGTAACTGTTGAACATACTGTAAAGCAAGTACTTCTGGAGTTTGATATTTAGAAGCTTCGTTACGAGAAATTATGTAGTAATGAGTGGGGATTGTTACGCATTACATGTCATCATATGTATTATAATAGCCACAATTGCATGTACAGATTGAACCTCCCTAATCCAAAAATCGGAAATTTGAAATGCTCTGAAATCTGAACTTTTTTTTTTTTTTTTTTTTTGACAGAGTGGACAGTGAGAGAGACAGAGAGAAAGGTCTTCCTTTGCCATTGGTTCACCCTCCAATGGCCGCCGTGGCTGGTGCACTGCACTGATCCAATGGCAGGAGCCAGGTACTTATCCTGGTCTCCCATGGGGTGCAGGGCCCAAGCACTTGGGCCATCCTCCACTGCACTCCCTGGCCACAGCAGAGAGCTGGCCTGGAAGAGGGGCAACCGGGACAGAATCCGGCACCCCGACCGGGACTAGAACCCGGTGTGCCTGCGCTGCAGGCAGAGGATTAGCCTAGTGAGCCGCGGTGCCGGCCTGAAATCTGAACTTTTCTTGAATGTCAATGTAACACTGAAAAGGCTTTGGATTTGTGCCACAGGCAGCTGCTCCACTTCTAATCCAGCTTCCTGCTGTTTCGCTTGGGAAGGCAGCGAAGACAGCCTGAGTGCTTGGGTCCCTGCCAGCCGCGTGGGAGACTTGGTTGGAGTTCCTGGCTTCCCCTTGGCCCACCTTTGGCTGTGGTGGCCGTTTGGAGAGTGAAACCAACAGAGGGAAGATCGCTCATGCTCTCTGTCTCTCCCTGTCACTCTGCCTTTCAAATACATAGATAATTTTTTTTAAGATTTTGGATTGTGGAGTGTTTCACATTTGGGATTTTCAGATTAAGGATTTTGAACTAATAAAGTCTACACAACTATTCCCAAATCTGAAAATTGCAACCTGAAACACTTCTGGGCCCAAGCCCAGATCAGGGAGGTCCGCGTTCTGTGTACAAGAGTGTAGAGCTCACATGCTGAATGCAGAGAGTTTCCATCTTCATCCAGGTCCTTTTCTAGTAACACCTCCTTAAGTATGCTGAACTTTGTTTACTGAGTAACTTTCTCATCTATATTCTGATTGCAAAAGTCATAAAAGTAGAACTATATACTGTTGATCCAAAAATTGGAAAGCACTAGAAATGAAAATTTTTTGAAAAGGAGAAAAGAATAGAAATCAGTGAACTTTAACGCCTTTGTGCTCCAATGAAAACATTCACTTCTAGAGATGTAGCGGTTATTGCTGAAATGTTTTGTCATTTTTGGGAAGAATATCAGAGAACTATATTTCCATAAGGGTTACACTTAGCAGGACTTAATAATAGCAAGAAAATTTCAGTTTCCCATCTGTGTTTATTTTATTAATAAAAAGCCCAAGAAGTGATTTGGGCATTTGGTTGTTGTGTATGTGTATAGATAGATACATGGACAGATGAAATGTTCAGAGATAGTTAGATACGTGAGAGTATGTGTGAAAGATTCAGGTGGCATTCGGTCACTCTTCTGTCCAAATTCCGTGCATTCAGAACTCGATGTCATTGGTGACGTGCGTGGTGGCATGAGATGTTGCTGACCTGGGTGCTGGTTGTGCGGTTCTGGAGCATTGTTAAAGTTAGTTTTTGTCTTTATAGGTGACCTTCCTGGAAGAAGTTACTGAGTATTACATAAGTGGTGATGAGGATCGCAAAGGACCATGGGAAGAATTTGCAAGGGATGGATGCAGATTCCAGAAACGAATCCAAGAAACAGAAGATGCTATTGGCTATTGCCTGACGTTGGAGCACAGACAGCGAGTCTTTAACAGGCTCCAGGAAACATGCTTCGAAAGACTTTACGTTTCTGGGCAGTGCTGAGATGAGCTGACAGCCTGGAGCCCTAACATTCTCTACCTCTTACTCCAGAGGTTCTTTAAAACAAACATTGGCAGCTGTCCTTCGACATTCTTTAGAGGATATGTAATTTGGATCCAATGATCTAGTTTAATTGTTATTTTTTGCAGCAAATCCCATCAGACACCCAGGTTTGAAGCCAGCCCCAATAATAAAGGAAGTACAGTTTTTAATCCGCCCTCTCCTTTGCTTGCTTGAAGTACAAAGGGGACCTTTTGCGTTACAATTTTGCACTTTCAGAACTTATTTCCAAGGGAAATAATATTTATAGGGCTTAAAGCCCATTTTTGGTTCTAATTTAAATTACATATACCTGTCTAAGAACTTTGAGCTTGCTGTTATTTTGGTTTTGTTTGTTTTTTTCCCCAACATTCTGAAATTACGGACTTTTTACGTGTGGTTTTTCTTTTCTTTTTCTTTTTCTTTTTTTTTTTTGTATCTTTTGAAAATTTCAGTGATGTGGCCTGTGTATATTAAGGCTAAAATAATCTTGTGTATGTTATCAGCTTAAAGGACATGATCTTGTATCACTTCTGTTTTTCTTTAAAATTGGCTTTGGTTCAAAGTGGGCAGTGTCTTTGTCTCTGCGTTAAGCCCAGCCCTGCAGACCCCTCTGCTCTGGAAGCTGTCGCTTCCCGCCGGATTGTGAGCACTGACTGGCTCTCGCAGACCCTGAGAGGGAGCGCCGCGGTACTCTAGGTTTCAGGTTGAATGTGGCTCCTTGTATCTTTCAGCAGGTAGCAGTTGTACAGCCTCTTCAGAGTGGCAACTGTCGTAGGCATTGATTTTCTAGATGTTGCAACCTAGCATCTTCCCGGGAAGCAGGGAGGCGGCATCTCCGTGTAATCTGGTTTTGTTGTCTGCGCTCCGCAGGGACCCAGTGTTAGTAGTCTCGTGCCTCAGCACTGTCACTTTTAGAACCTGTCAGGTGACACTAAACTTGGAAATGGGCAGTTCTGAATTTTCACATTCGAAATGTAAAATAGAAACTTCGTCAGTATCCAGGTGTATTGTGTTCTGCTACGTTAATAAAGAAAAATAATGGCCAGGCCTGTACTTCCTGAGATAGGGATTTACCACCTAGAAAGGCCTGGCACCTCTAGCCCAGGGCTGCTTCTGGGCCAGAGTGTTTGTGGGGTGCCTGCTCCGCACAGTTAGTGCTACACGGCAGGCCCGTCCGACAGGGAGCATTGGCTACGGCTGTAAGGGGCTGCTTCTGCTCTGTCTCTACCAGGGATACCGGAAAACATGAGCAGAATAGGTGAGCTCTTCATCTCGAACTTAGGTGGGGGTGAAGTTTGCCTCTGGTGCTTGCGGGGTTCCTACCTCAGTTTGTAATCTACCTGGTCTTAGTTATTTGTCTGGTTCACCCTGAAGACTGCCTCCGGTGCTCGTGTGTGGATTCACGTGGACGCACACTGAGAGTGCAAGCCGCTCATGGTTGGAATCTACAGGGCCTGCGGCCGTAGCGTGTGAGCAGGCCGGAGTCAAGTCCAGCCGCAGCCCCTGGAAGGCAGCAGCCTTTGGCACCGTGTGGACACTCCTGTAAAACCAGGCTGAAGCATGCTGTTTCATTTCGGGGTGCAGGTTTTGTTTTTGCGTTTATGAAGTGTGGCACCTCTGCACGTTTGAAGGTGATGGGACATCTTCCCTGGGGACGGCAGCCTCGCAGCCCAGTGAGTGCAGGCGTTACTCAGCGTCCTCGCGTAGCCCTCCCGTGGAAGCGAGCAGACGGTGATGAGAAAGACCATCTGAAAATTAGGCTGAAGCAGAAAGAATTCTCGTCAGTTCCATCCCAGTCTTGTTTGTGTGGGAACACTAGAAGGAAATCCTGGGGGTCCTAACCACACCTTTCACGTTTCAAGTCTTGTACTGGTGCTCTAAGTGTCACTGTAGCGTGTGAAAGGCTGTGTCCAGACAGAACGTCCACTTGTGAGTGCTGAGGTGTGAGAACACCTCTCTTCATCTCTAACTTGAAATCAAACTATCAGATTTTATTTTTTTATAATTTAAGGAGGGTGAAGCTCGGCATTGAGAAGACTTCTAAATCGGCTTCTTCAGATGCAGCAATTTACATGTAACCAGTTGGGATTTTGTAGCTAAAGTTCTATTTGTGTATGTAACTTAACTAATCTGTAAATGGTAATAAATATATTTGCAATTAAGTGTTACATGGTTTTTGGGTTGGACTTTATATATGTGGTGTAGTAGCAGTTACTCAGCAGGGTTTTCAGGGTTACGTAGGTATTCTTGTAGAAGTGCTGTTCACTCAGAGGTGCAGGATACATTTCTGTGGTTTAAGAGACAGTGATGGGGCCGGCCCTGTGACGCAGTGGGTTAAGCTGCTGTCAGCAGAGCTGGCATCCCATATGTGTGCCATTTTGAGGCCCGGCTGCTCTCCTGATCCAGCTCCCTGCTATTGTGCCTGGGAAAGCAGCAGAAGATGGCCCAAGTGCTTGGGTTCCTGCCTCCGCACCGGAGACCTGGAAGAAGCTCCTGGCTTCTGCCTAGCCCAGCCTGGGCTGTTAAGCCATTTGGGGAGTGAACCAGCGGATGGAAGAGCTCTCTCTGTCTCTCCCTCTCTAACTCTTGCAAATAAATTTTTGTAATTAAAAAAAAGTTACGTGATGTGTAAAATGTACCTTAGCTAGTGAAGGAGAGAAATGGTAGGGTGAGTATTATCATTTGGCTCTTGGAGTATGAGCAGCCCTTCTGTGAGACTGATGAGTTGGCGTGGCTGAGGCCGATGTGACACAGCAGGTTAAGCCAGCACTTAGAAGCCTGCATCCACATCGAGTGCCAGTTATGAGTCCCAGCTGCCTGCTGTTGTGCCTGGGGAGGCAGCAGAAGATGGCCCCAATGCTTGGGTCCCTGCACCCATGTGGGCGGCCCCGATGGATTCCTGGCTCTTGGCTTCAGCTTTGCCCAGCCCCAGTTGTTGGAGCCATTTAAGGAGTGAACCAGTGGATGGAAGATACTCTCTTCTCTCACTGTGCCTTTCAAGAAAATAAATGCTTAATAAAATTGGCTTTCCAGTTCTGCAAAGAAAAACAGTAAAATAGTGTTTACAGAAGCAGTAATATCCAAGTGTTGGGCAGACCATGATCTCCCATTTGCAAAATTGAAAAAATGTGATGGTAAAACCAAAAACTACCCCAAAGCAAAAAATAAACTTGGGAGTATTGCAAGCCTGTGAACAGATCACGGAACAGTAACACTCAGTTCAGGGCATTTGGACCTCCCTAGCTAATGAGAAATTACGTGTATTCTTAACTGCAGAAAGAAAATGCAAATAGCATGCTTAATGCAAACAAATGACAGCCACAGGTTATAATTTTATTTCCATTTTGGGTTAATTTATGTGCTTTTGGCTCTTCCCAGGAAGATAAGTGAAAATACCCAGATTCACATGAGGCTACATTCATTGTTGTGCCTACCCTCGGCCTACTTTGCGAAAGTTTGAATCAAGCATTTAATTGCTAACCTTGAAAGTTTTGATAGTTACACGTGGACTTGGGAATTTGGTATCTGACATTCTCATTTGAAGACTTTGGATTCCCAACTATGTGCCTTTTAAAAATAAAGATGGAATTTTTTTTTTCACATAAAATACCTGTTTGTAAAACTAATTAGTATGATGATACTTAGATATTCTCAGTACATTTTAAAAAGTAAGTGCTGGGACCAGCGCTGTGGTATAGCGGGTAAAGCTGCCGCCTGCAGTGCCAGCATCCCATATGGGTACCGGTTTGAGTCCCAGCTGCTCCACTTCCCATCCAGCTCTCTGCTATGGGCTGAGAAAGCAGTAGAAGATGGCCCAAGTTCCTTGGACCCTGCACCCGCATGGGAGACCTGGAAGAAGCTCCTGGCTCCTGGCTTCATATCAGCCCAGCTGCAGCCGTTACAGGGGAGTGAACCAACGGATGGAAGACCTCTCTCTGGCTTTAAAAAAAAAAAAAAAAGTGTGCGGCTCAGGTGACGAGCTTAGGGAATTTCTTTTTATCTATAAAGGAGGCTTTGATGATTCATCTAACTGATGGTGACACCAGTGTTAGCTATTTGAGATCCTACACCAGTAATTAGGATTCTTGTGTACTTAGTTGCTTTGTGATCAGCTCGAAACATCCTTCCTGGATTTGCTCCAGCAAGACTTAGAGAGTTGCCAGTCGGTTGTGGCTTCAGCGTATGGAGGCAGCCGGATCCCAACATCCGAAACAGTAGGTACGACCCTGTTCACTTCCGGACCATCAGGCAGGACGAGGAAGCATTCAGCTCGCGCGTTTCAGTGGGAGGTTGGATGTCGGGGAGTTTGGAGACGTCACTGTGTATGGGCAATGGGGGTGAGGGTGGGTTGTATGTGACCACGGAAGCAGAGCAGACCGCTTGGTCTCCAGTGGAAGAGGGGAGCTAGGTGTGGAGAGTGGCTTGGTTGCTGTGAGGAGGGAACCCTAGACCAAAGCTGAGCTGTGTAAAGGCTGGGCCAGGCCAAAGCCAGGACCCTAGGAGGGAGGTGGCAGTGACCCAACTGTTTTGAGCTGTCACCTGTTGCCTCCCAGGGGTGTGTGTGATTAGCAGGAAGCTAGGATGGAGCAGAGCTGGAACTGGAACCCAGGTACTGTGATAGGTACAGCAGGCGCCCTAACCACTGGAGGAGACACCCACACACCTTCCTCCTCTGTTGGCTCATCTGCTCACTTAGTGTGAGTGGATGAAATCACAATTTAGTTGAAGGGTCTTTTTTTTTTTTTTAAGCTTTATTTGGGGCTGGCGCCGTGGCTCACTTGGTTAATCTTCCGCCTGCGGTGCTGGCATCCCATATGGGCGCCAGGTTCTAGTCCCGGTTGCTTCTCTTCCAGTCCAGCTCTCTGCTGTGGCCTGGGAAGGCAGTGGAGGATGGCCCAAATGTTTGGGCCCCTGCACCCACATGGGAGACCAGGAGGAAGCACCTGGCTCCTGACTTTGGATCGGCGTAGCTCTGGCCGTAGCGGCCATTTGGGGGGTGAATCAATGGAAGGAAGACATTTCTCTCTCCCTCCCTCCCTCTCTCACTGTCTAACTCTATCTGGCAAATAAATAAAGTACTTGAGAAAAAAAGATTTATTTATTTGAAAGAGTTACACAGAGAGGAGAGGCAGAGAGAGAGAGAGAGAGAGAGAGAGAGAGAGGGAGGTCTTCCATCCACTGGTTCACTCCCCAATTGGCCCCAAAGGCTGGAGCTGCGCCAATCCGAAGCCAGGAGCCAGGTGCTTCTCCTGGTCTCCCATGCGGGTGCAGGGCCCAAGCACCTGGGCCATCCTCCACTGCACTCCCGGGCCACAGCAGAGAGCTGGCCTGGAAGAGGGGCAACCGGGATAGAATCCGGCGCCCCGACCGGGACTAGAACCCGGTGTGCCGGTGCCGCAAGGTGGAGGATTAGCCTATTGAGCCACAGCGCCGGCCGCTAACGTTTTTTTAAACTGATGGTTCGTATTTATTAAGAGACTCGAAGAGACAGTTCCGGTCTGCTGGTTCACTTGGCATTGTGTGTGGGGGGAACGCCATAGAGGTCTCCCCTGGGGGTGGCAGGACCCCAGTTATTTGAGCCATCGCAGCTGCCTCCCAGGGTGTGCATGAGCAGGAAGCTGGAGGCGGGCGCAGAGCAGGGTGTTGAGCCCGGCCTCTGACAGTGTTGCTGAGCCCCTTATGAGCACTTCGACTTTACACCCCACCCTCGCTACTCAAAACTCCGTGACGTCAGGGATCTTGCTGTTTACGACCTTGAACCTAGAACCTTTGTTTTTATGGTCAGTAAATACTTGTTGAATGAGTAACAACTTTTTTTTTTTTTTTTTTTTGAGATTACTGTATTTCGGGCCAGCACTGTGGTTAAGCATCCGCCTGCAGTGCCAGCATCCCCCATATGGGCACCGGTTTGAGTCCCGGCTGCTCCACCTATAATCCAGCTCTCTGCTGTGGCTTGGGAAAGCAGTAGATGGCTTAGGTCCTTGGGCCCCCACGCCCAAATGGGAGACCTGGAAGAAGAAGCTCCTGGTTCCTGGCTTTGCATCCGTCTAGCTCCCAACGTTGTGGCCATTTGGGGAGTGAACCAGCAGATGGAAGACCTCTCTCTCTTTTCCATCTCTCTGTAACTCTACCTCTCAGTAAATCTTAAAACAAAACAAAACAAAACAAAACACACACACACACACACACAAACAGATCTTATTTGAAAGGCAGAGACACACAGGGAGAGGGAGGACAGAGACAGAGATCTTCCACCTCTGGTTCACTCCCTTCCAATGGCTGCAGTGATGGGGACTGGGCAGGCCGAAGTCAAGAGCCTGGAACTCCATCCGGGTCTCTCACGTGGGTGCAGCGGCCTAAGCACTTGGGCCATTTCTTCCTCAGAGACATTAGCAGGGAGCTGGACCCGAAGTGGAGCAGCCAGTCTTTCTTAAAACCAGTGTGTCCTATAGACTTTATTTTATTTTATTTTATTTATTTATTTTTTTGACAGGCAGAGAGAGAGAGAGAGAGAAAGGTCTTCCTTTGCCGTTGGTTCACCCCCCAATGGCCGCTGCAGCCGGCATACCGCGCTGATCCGATGGCAGGAGCCAGGTACTTATCCTGGTCTCCCATGGGGTGCAGGGCCCAAGCACTTGGGCCATCCTCCACTGCCTTCCTGGGCCACAGCAGAGAGCTGGCCTGGAAGAGGGGCAACTGGGACAGAATCCGGCGCCCCGACTGGGACTAGAACCCGGTGTGCCGGCGCCGCAAGGCGGAGGATTAGCCTAGTGAGCCGCGGCGCCGGCCTCTATAGACTTTAATTAGTAAAGTTTCATCAACAGCGATGTCTGATCAGAAGCAAATGTGCCACAATGGAAGATAACAGAGTCGCAGAATGTGCAGGTCCTTAGAGAAAAGCCGCAGTAAGCGCTAACTAAATTTGTAGAATGTAATTACAAAATTCAATTTGGCTGGGGATACCATGCCAATTAATTTGAGAGTCATTAATAAGGTGCATGTTAATTTATGAATTTAATATGTGAGCACGTCACCTGGGACCTTTCTTTTCCAGAACTAACTTACTGTATCCGAGCAGCAGAATGTTCTGCCCACCATACCTGGGGCTTAGTTTCCACTCCTTTTTGGCCAAGGATTGGCTTTGGGTTTCCAGCTGTGCCCCGCTGAG